ATTGGTAGGCCATAGAAACTTACCTGGTTTCGAAATGTGTTTCGCTGCACTTCCAAGAACCTATTGATGATATTAAGTGAGAAGTTATTGTACAGCCAAGATCTCTTTTGTTGAGAAGAAGAGATAGAGAGGGTTACCTCAGAAAAAGCAACCTTTTCAAAAGTCCAAATAAATAATGATTAAGAGAGACTATTCAGACTAGTTTTGGGAGATGAAGGACTGATTCAGAGGATTCAGAGACTGAAAGAATATCCTAAAAGACTTTCAAAGTAGAAACTCAAGGAAAGGAGACAAATAAATAAGCTTAAGCAGGTGTTGGTAGAAGAACAAGTTACTTTTTTTAGAGACATTTTTTTAATGTATTAATTTGGAAGAGAAATGTTGATTTGTTGTTTCATTCATTTATGCCCTTATTGATTCTTACATGTGCCATGACTGGGGATCAAACCTACAACCTTGGCATATCAAGGTGATGCTCTAACCACGTTAGCTACCTGGCCAGGGCCCAGATTACTTTTTATAAATACAATATAATGAATAATAGAAAGTCTTAACCGGTAGAAGTAGCATTGGAATATAGAAAGCAAATAAACCTGAGGCCAACTAGAATCATGCATGTAAATAGGCGCTGAGAAACCTGACTATTTAAGATGTTATAGAATACAGTGTTACCGGTATGGTGGCAGCACTTCTAAAAAGTTCTCCCAGGCATTTCTTCTTCAGTTTGTTTGTTCTGTTTTTAAATTCTAAAGTAAAACCATGGTTTTTGTTTCAGATAATATTTTATAAAAATGGTGTCAATCAAGGTGTGGCATACAAAGATATTTTTGAAGGGGTTTACTTTCCAGCCATCTCACTGTACAAGAGCTGCACGGTATGTATCATCTGTTCATCTTGTGAACAGAACTGGAGAGAAATAGGCAAATGGTTATGATGAAAGAGAGCCATTGATTGAGTTCTAGAAAGAAATATGAATAACCTGAATGAGATGGCAATGGTTTCCGACTGTTGCTGTTTGTTCCGAAAACAGTTGGGTGTTTTTGTAAGTATATGCTTGGATTGTGCAATAAGTGTGCCCCATACTTGTCCTTTGAATGCACTGTGTGGTAATGTTATTGTTCACTGTAAAGGTTATAAAGTATTTATGTGCATAAATCAGTTTGGTGTTATATATGTCATGATAACCTACCATCATTAGTTTGTAACTGCTGGAGAGAGAGAGAGAGAGCGAGAGAGCGCGAGAGAGAGAGAGAGATATTCATTGTAAATGGGACTGTCATTAGAGCCTGTTAGGTTTTTTTTAAAGTAATTTGAAAAGGTAATGCCTGGAAATTTCCATGTATTTTTAGTCTGTTGGTTAGGTACCATGGAAGTAAAATAAGAAAATCTTCATTTATAAACGGAAATCAGTATGTCTATTTACCCTAATTTTTGAGGGACAGTAAGGTGTTGACCACTTTCTGCAATATCTATATATATATATATATCATTGTTCCAGCTATACCTTGAATGTCGTTGCTACCTTTAAAGAGAAGGATTTCCCACGTCCCATTAACTTTCTCACTATATGCTTATTTTTTATGTCTGCTCGAATTGAATTTATCCCAGGTTTCCATTAACTTTGGACCATGCTTCAAGTATCCTCCAAAGGATCTCACTTACCGCCCTGTGAGTAACATTAAAAATGTCTGCATGCTTCCTCAGCATCTTTGTTACCTCTTGCTGTACTCTAATCACCTTATTTCTGTTTCTCATTCCTCCCACAGATGAGTGACATGGGCTGGGGCGCTGTCGTAGAACACACGCTGGCTGATGTCTTGTATCACGTGGAAACAGAAGTGGATGGGAGGCGGAGTCCCCCGTGGGAACCCTGACCAGGACCCCCTTTCTTTGCAGACATGGACTTTCTGGGGAATAATGGTGGGGGGTTTTCTTTTTGTTTTTCAACTGTTGCAAATGTTATCCCAAAGATACTGCAGAACATAGGCTCTGCTGTTAGCAAGTTAAAAGGCTGGGTGGCACCGGCAGAGATTCCCTGCCCTTCATCACTCTTCCCCGCTTCTGGTGACTGCTCTCATTCTGTGTGCCATATGCCAGCGCCTGCCGACCCTAGGACCCCTTATGAGCTCCCCGTGAAACCGGTGCTGTGCCATGTACCCCGCCACTGGGGCTTGTTATCTTACTGTATTTTCTAAAGTGGATAGTAGAGTCCAAGTGGCTAACTTATTTAAAGACTTTTTTTTTCTCTGTGGGCATTGACTGTATCCCACCCAGTTTCCAAGGAAGTGGTAGGCCTGTTTCTGAGAATAGCTGAAATTGATGGTTGTACATTCCAGAACCAATTTAAGAGCTTTCCTTTGGGGGTGGGTTCGTTTTTGTTATTAATTTTGAAATACGCTTTTGAACACTGGGATCTCTGAAACTACCATGTCTCTAGAACTGTAATTGTGAAAGAAACTCGTTTTCAGCTTTAACAATTAGAAACTCTTCCCAAATAAAACTTGTGATCAAGTATGTGTGGAACTCTGCTTCCCTTTAAGGTTGGGTTCCTCCTGGTGACAGTTCCAGCTTGTATCTCACCGCCCTCCTATTGCTTCGCTTCTGACCAGCCAACTCAGTGTTCTGTGAGAATCAGTCTCTTAAGAGGTGAAGAAGAAGAGTAGAGGATTAATGGTCTTCCTCCAGTTCTTCTCCTGGAACATGTGTATTAATATATACAGGTGGTTTTCCTGCTTTGCGTATAGTCCTTTGTGTGGCTGGAGATTAAAGGACAGTTTGCAGAAACTAAAAACTAGAATGTAAGAGTGAGCCTTTTCTTGGGGTCGCTTTGTGGCTTCTCTGTCTCCCTTTTTTACACATCAGTGGCAGTGCAGCCTCCCAGGATGGCCCCACAGCCTCTCCCACATACAAATTTTTACCTATGTTAATAAGTAAAGTGGTTCACCATGAGGTAGGTTATATGTTGCCAAGCGTTCCCATATATTATGCCTGTTTAAGAAATTTCCAAAATTTCAGTTGCCTGTTGGGATCTTAACACGATGACTGATTAATTTTCTGTCTCCTAAGGAGACAAATGTATTAGTTTTGGCCATTCCACGTCTCTTAACAGGAAACCTAATACTGAATCAGTATCATCTTAGGCCAGAGTCTCGGCCTGTCGCCTCCAGACACCTGTTCATTCATGGCTGGAAAGGGTGGACATGGTTATGAAGCTTCCGCATCATCAGAGGTTGAACTTTTAAGGAGATGAGGGTAGTGTTATTGAGAGGAAGTTGGAGGTAAATTCTTTGTAATATAAATGACCACATGTATAGTTGTATAAATTATAAAATATAAACATAATCACCACATACACAACTCTTATTTTTTTTTAAATAAAATTAGTTTCTTGTACATTTGGCTTCCATAAATCAGATAATAGGAGTAATGATTTTTTGTTTATACTTCATATTCAGAATGTGTGTTTGTGTGTGTGTTTTGATAGTTCATTTGAAGGGTTCAAAGAATACCCCCTCTCTATCTAGTCCTGTATAAAATGGTTTCCAGCCCTGGCCAGGGTGGCCTATTTGGAGTGTCGTCCCATGACCAAAAGGTTGTGAATACAGTCCTGGTCAGGCCACACACCTGGGTTGCAGGTTCAATTCCTGTTCGGGGAACCTACGAGAGGCACAAGTGGATGTTTTTCTCCGTTTCCCTCTAAAAGCAATGTCTTCAGATGAAATAAATAAACAAGGGTTTTTGTAGGCAGATCCTCACAGCTTATTTTATTCCAATGTAAAACAAGTGGGAGATTATCTCCCTAGTCATCTCAAAGATACGGTTGCATAGTTTGAAGAATGCAAATTATAATCAAACTCAAAACCATGTATGTTGAAAGCCCGTTTCTTTATTATCATCCTGTTCTCTTGAAATTAGAGTGTATATTGCGCTACACATCTTTTAAACGCATAACCATTTTCTCATAGCTGGAAGTAGATAATTCTGTTCTAGAAGTATGTCTACAACTATACCCTAAGACACAAGCTCCTGGACAGATAAGCTGTAATTTTATCTATGCCAAAAATAGACGACTGTAAGGAATAATCAGAATAAATAATAATAAATACCTCTAGTTGTAAAATTTCAATACCTCAATAAATACCAGAATTTCTGCTACTGCTAATTTGTTAAATAGAGCTCTGTTTCCAAATGTAAATCATCAACTCAGCACTAGAATGGAAAAGGTTCAAGTGGTGTACATTTTAGCAAATTAAACCCATCCCAGTTTATATTTTTAAAGCCTAAATTCTCTAGCTCTTGGAAAGGGAATTTGCTATCACCATATTACCTCTTCTTCCAGCCATCCCTCAAAATTGTGTAATACTGACCTTCTAAAGCAGAGAAATTGGCAATCCTGAGCCAAGCCGAGAGCTGGTAATAATAGACTCTGAAGTAAAGATTCAGTTGCCATGTTAGGTCTGAACAGTTGCTAATGGGAAAATAAAATTTGTTTTTAATTTTATCTTAGTAATACTGTTCATTCATTGATACTTGGGGCCATCCTTTTTATTGAATTTGTTGGGGTGACAGTTAATAAAATTATATAGGTTTCAGGTGTACAATTCTATAATACATTATCTGTATATTGTGTGTTCACCACAAGTTGCACTGTCCTTTTAAGTAAAAAAATAAAAGTCCTCCATCATAATCAACTTAAAATGCCCATTATTTGGCTACCAGTTATAAAGTTAAGATTTAGGCTTATGCCTATCATGGAAATGAAATTTTTAGGAAAGCTGCTTTGAACAGATTCATAATCGAAGAAGTCCCTAGTAGTTTTTCCTTTTAATGAGCTAAGGGATTTAAATTTTTTGTCTAGAACTCAGTATAAAGCTGCAGTTTCATGAAATAGACTTCTTATGAGCATAATTTTAAAACAGGTACAGACTGAAGTTTTTGTATTAGTCATGAGTCTTTATTCTGACTGGGGCTCATGGAAGAAGTAGAGAAACCAGCCTAATAGTTTTGTAGTTTTTCATTAAGCAAACTTGAAGTAGGTCTCTGGAAGGCACCTGTGGGGGAGTAGCTTGCACTTCGGTGCATGCAGCTGTCTGCTTGCTTGGTGGAGGGGCAGAGTTGCTGGAGCCCCTCCTGTAAGACCCTGCTATGCCCACACACTGCCTGCAGGGGGTGGGTCTCTAGAGCCCATAGAGCACGAGGTCCCAATCCTTATGTTTAGCACCTTCTGCCAGCTAGTAGCATCTGAGATGTTTTTAGGTAGACATGTAAGGGCCCAGAGAAAAGTTTTGCAGATATTTTGGGACTCAACTTTCACTTCACAGCTAAGCAGTGAATGAAGTTAGAAGGCTCATCCTCTGTTTGAGAGCCCCACACCTATTTTCTTGGTGCTAAAATTTTACCAATCTTTGAGTCCTCGTATCATAATGTAAATACATTGTCACCCCAACCCACTGTCCCCAGATGAAGATTTCAAGCAGACTTGTAGGCCTCCGGGAGGGATTTTCCTGATGAGCATGCAAGCCAGTGCAGCTAGAACAGCTGGAAGCAACACGCTGGTCTTCAACACCTGGCCTCAGGAGAAGGACTGGACTCCAGGTGTTTGCGCAGGTGGTTGGCAAAGTCCATCTGGGTCTGTGATAGGACCTGGTTGATGATAGTCTTTGGCAGCCATCCCTAGAGTAGAAGATAGAAGAACTTGGCCATCTTGTGGGCAGTGTTCCACTCTGGAACCTCTGGACCCTATCACAAACATGGGTTGGTATGGTCTTGGTCTTCGAGTTTTGTTTATAGGTGTAGCCTTGTAGTTGACCAGGGTCAAGTGCTGGAGGTCTGCTTTGTTGACCTGCTGTCATGAAAGTGCCAGAAGCACAGGATTTGCTCTCAAGACAAATTTCAGACCTGTCTTTCCAGCTGTGTGACCCTGAACTCATTAGCACACCTTTCTGGGCCCAAGTTTCCCTGTATCTAAAATAACTAGAGTTGAAATTTGATATGGACAGATAAGAAGGGCCCATTGGCGGCTGTTGAGATGGTGAGTATCAAGCCGTTACTCAAATCTCTTCCCTGTTCAACTCTCTGATTCTCACAGGATTTCCTGGTCTGTGTGGGGTAATGTTGGAGGGGAAGGACCTATTTTTCTCTTACCACCTGCCCACTGTTCCACCTCCTGTGCCCCTCACCTTGAGGTCGATGCTGAGTAGCCAAGTGAGTTTGGTCTTCGAGGGACTTCCAGCCAGGGGATGGAGCACCATGCAAGTGGGACCATGTTCAGCCCTGGCAATTGAAGAGAAGTCAGGAAGACAATCCGGAGTTCTCTGGTGCTAACTAGGTATACTAACCACATTTCTCGAGTGCCTTGTCTTTCCAAATCTCATCAGAGAAGTATCTTTTGCCAAGGGCGATACCCAACAAGTGGCATGGTTACCAGCTCATCAGAACAAGGGCTGATTAGAACTGGACCTGGAACCTGCAGGCTTCTTGTGGTGCCTTTTAGTTGCTGGATAATGGGCCCAGAGTGGTGGCCTGGGTGCCTGAGGAACTCAGCAGCTGTGTTCTAAGAGGTGTGGGTTATATTTTACTCACTAGTACAGCCTTACCTGACCATACCAGCTAAACCTCAGCCACTTGCCTTAGTAAACTATTAAGGCCCTGAAACTTTCAGAGAGGGTCAAGACAGACTGGCTATGTAAGTAAGGCTAGTCTTGTTTTCATCCCCTGCTATGGAACTTGAGAATCTTCCTTTGTAAAAGGAAGCTAAGAGTAGGGACCAAGGATTGGTTTCCTGGAGCCAGAGATTCATCATATATGTGACCCCCAGGCCTGTGTTAGGAAAAGGAGCTTTTGAGCCTGCTGCCAATATTACCTGATCACACCTTTCTGCTCAGGCATCTCCCCAAAATGCGTGGCCATGCCAGCCAGCACGCAGGTGGAGCCGCGGCGCTTGGCACAACGCACACTCACAAAGTCACGGGGCCCCACGAGGTTCCCTGCTGATTCTGCAGCCAACTCATGGGTGATCACTGTGTCTTTCCCAATCTTCTGCAGGACCTGCCAGGCCACAGGGAACCAGAATCAACTTAGCCAGTGTTGGGGATAAGGCACTACCACCCACAGCTTTGGCCACCTTTCAGACCGGGCTCCCACAGGTCCCTGCCCTTTGTCCCTGGGCTCCCCCTCACCTTGATCTCCTTGACATTCGGGTTCCACTCTCCCATTGCCTCCATGCGTTCCACAAGCTCCTCGTAAAGCCTCTCCATGGGCTGGTCCACCACCACCTCCAGCCGGAATACCTTGCCCACATCTGGGACCATTTTACTCAGCACTTTGTCCCCATTGGTCTGTCAGGGAGAGAAAGGAGCTCCAGGATAAAATTGGAGAAAAATATTCCTAACCTGAGTCATATAGGCAATATTGGGCAAGACAAGCAGGGGACAGTGATAAGAACTCTTTAGGTATCAGGAAATCTGGAACTATAATATTTCTGATTAAAATAGAGTAGGTGATCTTTCTTGCCACAAGCCTTGTACATCTGCTGAAGACCAGAAGTGACCTTTCTCCTCCCTGGGCCCTTTGGACTCAGTGGCAAATATTCATGGGCATGGGCAGCCTCAACTGAAAAGAGCTTTACTTGGCTGCAGAAGTTCAAAGATCCTGGGAGAGACAAACTTGGAGTGGGAGAAGTCTGGTCTACACCAATTACACACAGTGGATGGGATCTTAAAGACTTTTTTAGTCCAGCACCTAATTTCACCCAAGAAAGACGTAGGGCCAGAGAAGGTCAGTGATTTGCCCAGAGATCCTTGGCTAAGAGCAGTGCTGGGTCTAAATCCCAGATTTCTTGACTCCCAATTTAGTAGTCTGTTAACTTAGAGAAGGAGAGGTTTTACCGGAACTTCAGGCAATGGGCAGCAAGTAAACTTTTGGTGAAGATATAATCAGTCTCAGTAGAGGCACTGGCTCCCAGTACTGGTGCACTGCTCAGGAGAAGAGAGCCCAGCAGACTTGGGCCATCTGTATTTTGGTGCATCCCTGTTGTGGGTGAGCCCAGATCACCCCTGCAAGCTTGGCCGCAAGCTTGGCCATAAGGCAGGCTGAACAGCCCAGACACTGCCTGGCCCTGGAACCTCTAGCCCAGGGTATTGGGGCCTCTACTGCATGCAGAATCCCCATCACATGGCCTACGCCGCGTAGCTGTACAATGTATTTAGAGGGTAGGTAAGGCTACAGGAACAATGCTTTTCAAATGTGAGTCTCCAGGATGTCTCGGGTAGGGGAAGGGAGTATTTGAGGAGATATTCTTGGGAAAGAATTCTCAAAACTACTTGTTGGCCCAGTGACTGCCGCACAAAGCAGGAATTCTGGAAGAGCAGCAACCCGCCCCCCTACCCCCGGCCCCAGCCCCGCCCCGGCTGGCCTCGAGGATGGCAGTGGAATGGTAAGGAGCTGTGCACTCCCCCACGCCCTCCCTCACCTGCTGGTTCTCCTTCTTCCAGCCCTCCTGGCTGCTGAGGATGCCCAGGGCCTTCTGCATGGCCTCCTCTCCCTGGCGGATATAGGCTAGCTCCTGGTCGCTATAGAGAGTGTCTTCCAGTCGAGAACCTGGATGTGCAGCCAAGGAGAGACCAAGCTTCGTACCCCACCCCTAGCTTCCCACAAGCCTGTGCCCCTTTGATTTCTGAATCTGCTCTTCCCTCTGAAGAGCCAAGACCAAAGCCATAGGATTCAGCTTGCAGGTCAAGTTAGACACAGCAGCTGCAGGTGACAGGGAGGGGATCTGGCTGTGAGGAACTCCATTCCCATCCTCTCCAAGAGAATAAGAAAGGTCACAGGGCTGGTGGGGACCAGAGCCACATTAACAGTGTTTGCACCCCGGGAGCCCCTGCCACTGGCAGAAGCCCAGAAGTCTCAGCACTCACCGAGCAGAGAGCTCCGCCGCCGGACCTGGTTAATCCATGCACTCGGGGTCGGGCCCCCCAGTGCCCTCCGGTTCAGCTCCTGGCCAATGGCCTGCATAGCTTGTTGCCTCAGCCCTGCAGAAGGGAAGGAAACTGTTGCCTTGGAGTGGGAGACTCCCCTCCACCCGTTCATCTTGTCACGGGTGAGAGGAAACTGGCGTGGAGAGGGGAGTGACTTGATCAAGAACATGCAGGTTCCTCATAGGGACTGGAGCTAGAACCAGTGTTCCCAGTGTTTGTTAGGCTGCCCCCGACGGCCTCCAGGGCCCAGGGACCTGCCTTCCATCCGGGCGGGCCAGACCTGGCTCTGCCTGGGGACAGGGGCCACACCAGAATGGCCTTGAAAGGGAAAGCAGCTTTGTTCAAACTAGAAAAACCCTGCTGCAGCAGGAAAACTAAAGACGCCCGTCCCCTAGCCAGAAGCCAGGGTCTTTGCTGCTCAGCTGTCTTACTCCCCTTTCTCTTTCACCTCCCCTCACCTCCTTCCCCGACCATGTCTCAGCCTTGCCAGCGCTCCTCGTTGGAGTCGAGGCTTGCTGCTACCTCTACCGCTGTGCCTAGGACTTCCCTGGTACCCTTGGGACCAATCCTAGAGAAAGGCTAAGTCAGGAAGAGTTCAAGGAAGATTGGAGCCCTGGAGAATTACACAATATGGAAGGGACATAGGCATCTTCATATTCAGCCCAGATGTTCCGGTGGGAAAACAGGTCCAGACGGGACAAGAGTTGTGCAGACTCGCCCAGTAAGAGGTTCAGCTGAGATCAGAACCTGAGTGGCTTGCCCCCAGTCCAGTACCTTTGCCACTAAACCACATGCCTAAGAGCTTCTGGTCACCACCATGAACAACCCTCTCCCCCAGGGAACTCACCCTTCATGTTGCGCATGTGTCTGTAGGAGCTCCCAGCACACAGCTTAAAGGTTGCTAGGAGCATTCTTTCCTGCCGGCTGGTAGCGCTGTTGCTGCTGCTGTCTCTGCTCTGGAGGGTGGCTTCCGTCCTTCCTGAGCCCGTCAGAGTCGGCCTCTGGATCCCACAGCTGTGGCTGGGACCTGTGTTCTGCGTCTTAAATGCTCCCAGCTGAAGGCTGTGCTTCATCACTGGGAGATAACAAAGCCATTACTCACTGTGCAAAGGAAGGGGTCAAGGATAGAGGGATTGCCTCACACTGCTGCTTTGGCCATTTGTGGGGAGCGGAGGGGGGCAGAACTGTGCACAGAAAGGAGTAGGGAGGTTGGTGCCAGACATAGTGGATGGGGGGAGAGAAAAAGAAGCAGCTGAGGTACAGTTTAGAAGAACGCATATACCATCTGACAGTAGTTCTCAAATAGCGCCTGGGCTGCTGCTTAAAACAGATTACTAGCCCTCGCTATATTTAAAAAAAAAATTTCCCCACCCTGGCTGGTGTGGCCCAGTGGATTGAGTGCCGACCTGCAAACCAAAGGGTTGCCGGTTCGATTCCCAGGCTGGGTACATGCCTGGGTTGCAGGCCAGGTCCCCAGTTAGGGGCGGGCGTGTGAGAGGCAACCACACGTTGATGTTTCTCTCCCCCTCTTTCTTTCTCTTCCCCTCTCTCTCAAAAATAATTAAATCTTTTTAAAAAAAATCCCCAGGTGATTGCTATGCAGGTGTTCGGTGATCTGCACAGTAGGTCTTGGGGAACTCTGCTTAGGAGAGTGCCCAGGGTATCTGCTAAAAGCTTAGTGGGTCGGAGCTGGTAGAGGCCATCTGGCCCCAGGACGAGGAGCCCAGAGTCCAGAGAATAGAAATGACCTGGTCAAGGCCAAGTATCTATCTAGTCAGCGGGAGGGCTGGGAAAATGGCACAAATCCTCTGGCCTTTGTTCAGTCCATCTTTACATACGCCATTCCCCTGGCAGCCCCCAGACACCTTGTGTGTTCTGCTCTTGAATTACTGACTCAACCATTTATATGGACAACTTCCCCAAACCCTGTTCATAGTTAGCTCCCCCTGCTCAGGGTTTGGGCGGGTGTGAATATGAACCCCAGGGCCAAGTCCTGTAAGGTCCTAAAGCAGAGAGAGGAACCAGCCAAGGGCACAAGGACTGGGGACCTGAGTCTCGCTGCGCCCGTCACCCTTCCTCATACTTTTCCGAGTGCCCTGGTCGGGTAGGCTGTGCCCCAGGGCCGGGCATGAGCTGAAAGGCTGAAAAGACAGGGCCCAGGAGTGCTCACCCCCAGCCTTTGCACTTTGGGGTCCTGTGCTCTAAACAGAGACTCATGAGGCAGCCGAGTCTTCTCTGCTGTTCCCACGCCGTCCCCTTCGCCCAGTGAGGAAGATCCCCTCCCAGCCTGCATGCTGGTCTCTGGCGAAATCTTTTCCCTCTAAGCAACCTTGCAGTTGCTTTTAAGACAGGCTCACCTGGCAAGAATTTTGTGAGGTCGAGAGAATCCCACCGATTTGCCCCTGACTCAGAGCTTGCCCCTGTGTGAGACTCCTGTGCTCTGTCACCGCTGCCCGGAGGCAGAGGGGAGGCCTAAAAAGCGGGGAGCAGTGGCAGGTCCCCACCACCACCCACTGCCTCCCTCACTACAGAAAGGACAAAAGGCACAGGACATGCTCAGAGCCGGGCCTGGTGCCTGGAGCCCACACAGAACAGGGCGAGCCCCACCCTCTTCCTTTCAATCCCTGGTGAGGCAGTGGGAAGGGCCCCACAGGCCAGAGAGGCCCTCGCCCGTCCTGTGCTCATTTCTCACCAGCGGCTGCCTGCAGGCCCCGGGCCCAGCGCTGGAGGCCCCCTGGGGCCCCTCCTCCGTGCAACCTTCTGGAATGGCTTATTTCTTTGAGTCACACCCTTATTGTCGGTACCTCTAGAAGGGCATTTCTCCAGTCCTGGTTTGTGTAATGGTTTGTGTGTGCTTGCTTGTCTCTTCTGTGGGACTGTTTGTCCCTGAGGCTCCTTGTCCACATCCGTCCCTGCCCCCCAGCACTCAGCTTCAGGCAGGGCGCACAGCAGGCTCTTGCTCCTTCCCTACCGGGTGACCAGTTGGGGAAGGAGCTGGGGGTGCAAATACGTTCTTTTGAATTCGGAAACCTGCCTCTTGGCTTTGTTTCCAGCCCTCAAAGAGCCCCAAAGGGAAGACAGGACAGAAGGGAAGACAGGCCTGAAGGGAGAGGACCAGGTCTCTGCTGCTCATGGGGTGAAAGGGGGTGGGAATGGGGTTTTGCATTTTATAGACTTAGAAAGAGAAGGTACAGATGGTGTGCTGGGACAGCTGCCCCTCCTTCTTGGTACACGTGCACCCTCATGCACATGTGTGTTCCAGTGGAGGTGGTGAGGCATGGGGAGGGGGTTATTATGGCATAGGCCCTGCAGATAATGTTCAAGGCCCCGCTGTTGCCATCCTGGGGAGAATTATGGCCATTGTGTGAGGGGAGGAGGTGGCGTGGGGAGCCTGGAGGACTGAGACATAGGGCTGTTGCTGATGTCAGAGGCTGCCATTGACTCAGAGGAGGAGGGTGCTGGTGACCTCCCGCAGGGCCAAGGCTTTCCTCTCCTCCTCCTCTTTTCCAGGCTGAACGGCTAGTTAACTCTTACTGTCCCACTGTGTGAGGTGGGGAGAGAGGTCTGGGAATTTCCTCTGGTTCTGGACGTCACCTGCATCTGATTCACACATAGTATCTGGCTTTGCTTTTTAAATTATTTTTTTTTTAAGTTATTGATCTTAGTGAGAGAAGGGAAGGGAGAGGGAGAGAGAGATCAGTTTGTTGTTCCACTTATTGATACATTCATTGGTTGATTATTGTATGTGCCATGATCGGGGATCGAACCCACAGTCTTGGCATATCAGGATGACACTCTTAATAACTGAGCGACCCAGCCAGGGCCTGGCTTTGTGTTTTGGTGAAGGCAGAGCACCCCCCTCGCCCCCCCCCCCCCCCCCGCTCTCCCCCGGGGAGATCAGATGCGCACAGCTGGTCAGGAAGGAAGGTAGCTGAGCTCTGACTCAGGCTGTGCAGAGTGCTGGAGAGGAAGGGCTGGGCCGGGGGAGGGAGGCAGGTGAGCAAAGAAGAGGACCCCACTTATTTATTCAACAATCTTTATTGAGTGGCCACTGTGTGGGTCTAGAGTTATGAGGAAAATGAGCCATATGACCCATATGTTGTAGAACGGATGAGGGGATTTAGAAATTCAGGGGGGTGGAACACCTAATTACACAGGAGAGGGAGGAGTGTTATGGAAGGCTTCTGGGAGGAAGTGACATTGGGGATGAGTGTGGAAGTACAATGAGGAGTGAGCCGGGTTGGAGATGGAGGATGAAGTGTGGGTGCTCAGGCGGAACAGAGGGCCAACAGCACGGAGAAGGGATCTGAGGACCGAGAGCCGGCTGTTCTGGGGAAGTTTGGCTGCTCGGCCATGGAATGTTTGTGGGGTGTGGTGGAAGATTCCTCTGCAGGATCCTAGGAGACAGAGGCTGGGAGTTGAGGACAGGGACCTTGAGCTTGTCTGGGCCCCAGCTCAGAGGAGGTGAGCACTGGGCAACCCCATCTTTGGATTTATTGGAATGGTAGTGGGGACTCCATGAACCAGAGTGGAGAAAGCACAGGTTTTATATTCAGAGACTTCTTCAATCTCAACCTTCTTATCTGTAAAATAGGGATACATTTTTTTTCTCCTTTTTGTAATCCTTTTAGGGTGGTTGAATGGCTTCAAGGAGGTAATAATACTTTGATGGCACGAAAGATGAAGTCCAGCTTTTCAGCCCAGTCCCTGGGCCCTCTGAATGCTCACCCTGGCTTTCTTCCCCAGTGATGCTCAGCATCGTGCTGAGGTGCCCCCTGCCGCCTGCCCCGTGATACCATACCTTCCCCGCTTCCAGGCGGCCCGCGGCGTTATCCGTCCTCCGGGGTTTCCCTTTGGGCCCTCCCCCTCAGCCCACTTTTTAATTAGAACCGGTATATTCCCCTTTGGGTCCCCTTGGTAAACGTTTGTCACAGCATCAGTAAGACTACTGTCCATTTCCTTCCTCCTGCCCCCGCCCGCCCCCGCCCCCGACAAACACATTTTTTGAAAGACTTATTCTTGAGAGTAGTTTTAGGTTGGCAAAATTGAAAGGAAGGTACAGAGATTTTCCATATACCCTCTGCTCCCCCATGCAGTTCCCCATTTTTTACATATTTCTGAATTCCATAACGACTTGCATTTTTCCCAGTTACCAGATACCAAATAAATATTAGTAAATGATTGGAAAACATAGAACCTGGTAATCTGTAAATTCTCAGTAAACGCTTTTTTTCCCCCATCTCTTACGGGGGGCCAGATTAGAGGTGTGGTCAAATCTTGGACTGTTTGTAGGGTGTATTGAGAGAAGGGAGTGTTTTTCTCCAAAGGGGCCGTTATGGGAGGAGAAAAGAAAGTTAAGGCAACTTTGACTCATTGGATTGGGAGTAATGATAGATTACTTTCCTTTCAAGTACATTTTATGTAATCCAGCACCTGATTCCTTAGTCTGAGTTAATCACCATTATCTCACAGATATCATTCTTATTTGCACAAGGCCAACTGTAAGTTTAAGTTCATTGAGGGTATGGAATCTATGCTGGCCACAGTGTGAGGGATTCCGCAGATTATAACAATGGACAATGAGAACTCCTTCTGCGTCAGGGACCGTTCTAACCTGTTTACACACATTAACTCAGTTAATACTCCCCCCCAAGGAGTTGGTACAATTTTTACCCCCATTTAACAGAGGAGGGGCTTGAGGTACTGAGACGTAAACGGCATGACCAAGTTCGGAGGCTGCTGCAGTGAGGAAACAAGTACGCAAAGCTAGGCAGTGTAGTCTGTGCTCTTGGTTATATAGCTTAACTTTTAAAATCTCCTCTTTCTCTGGAAAAACGGGGCAATAGTTGCCTCTCATAGTGCATACCTGACATACAGTAGTTGCTCAACAAGTGTGCAACTACTTAGGGTGAGAATGACTACTCGACTGTTCAATTTTCCCCG